TCAAAACATTTCCTCTCCACTTAAGCCCCCGGCATTAGGTCCTCATTTTTCCCCTCCCGCCCTGCTCCCCCCTCCCTCATGAGCCCTTGATAATTTATGAATTGAGACTTGTGTTTTAAATTTCTCATCTCACTAACTAGCTAGGTGAATCACCTCTCCTGGCTCCCGTTTCCTTCCTTATTGAAAAAAAGTTTGGATCATCCCCAGAGCTCCTTCCCCCTTTAGTCCCATGATTGTAGTCCATGTCTGTGTCAACCTGAGAGTGTTATCCACACTGTTTTGTTTGGTTCTTTAGCTCATGTTAAATGTGGAATGATTTCTCAAGTTTAATACAGAAGTCATATTTTTGTTATAAACCCTTGATACAAATAGGAAAACTGAGTATGGGCTTAGAAGATTAGATAGGTTGCTGAAAATGATTTTGCATTTAATTCTTGGTCAGCTTGCTCTGCTCTGATGCCAACTTGGGAACAAAACAAAGTATTACAATTTGCGTTCCTTTCCTGCTGTTCTAGAACTCACCTGAGAGCCCTGGATTCCGGACGATCACAAATGACGATGAGAATGAGAAGGAAAAGGAACTGCAGCTGGAGTCACTGCTGGGTGCCTTTGAGAGCCTGGGCAAAGCTTGGCCCCGGAACCCCGAGACCCAGCGTAAGCAGAGAACCCGCCTCCAAGGAAAGGCTGGAGGCAGGGGTTACTTCTCGAGAGAACAGATGATCTATACGCCTAATCATGATGATTGGTTTTTGTGTTAGAACCCAATTCACTAATAGTGAAAATTTTACCGGATGTAAATTCTACCCCTACATCAGCAAATAATGCCATTGACTGGAACGTGCGGCCTTTGTGCATATAATTTGGCTGAAAATTTTTATTGTAATGCATTGTTTATTATACTGTATTCTGAGGAATGTGCCAAATTTGCTAGTGGGGTCTCTTAATCCCAAAATTTAATGCTGTTGTTACTAAGTTTTCAAAAAGCAAGTGAAATCTTCATTTTACTAAGAAACTTGTGACTTTTTGAGATTTTTCTGAAATGGATATGTATTTCCAAAAGATTTGTATAAATGAACAATTTTTATTCTTCCATGAGGCTCGATTAGAAAGCAGTCATTTCTAAGTCCTTTGTCAGATGATGCCTCCTGTTGGGTATACAGTGCACCCTACTGATCTTGTCAGTATTCTGGACTGTTACACTACTGTTGCACATGTCTAGAATCACACTTAATTGCCTCTGAGCTCGATCAGCCATTGTCTGACCTGAAAAAAATAGGCTTGCTATTTATAGGAAGTATTTTCTAGAAGATACAGGCAAAAAGCAATCTTGGTTTTTGATACTATGTTTTGGATTGGAGTGGAAGCTCATGTGTTGGACGTCATTAGAACTACTAACTCAGTGGTTCTGAACCTTCCTAATGCCTTTCATACAGCTCCTCATGTGGTGGTGACCCCCAACCACAAAATTATGTTCGCTGCTACTTCATCACTGTCATTTTGCTACTGTTATGAATTGGGCGGCTCCTGTGAAAGGGTCATTTGACCCCCAAAGGGGTCGCAACCCACAGGTTGAGAATCGATGTAATAATGGATCAACTACGAGGTTTTGCTTGCTAAATTGAGAAAAATTAAAGCAAGTAATTTTATAAAAAAAGAAGATCCACATGCAAAACTATTTACTTTCACATGAAACATACACGTACATTCATGTTCCAGTGACTGAGTGGTAGGGCTAAGTTTTATCTGTGAGAATTTATATGGATATTGTGTAAGTATCCATATTGGCCTTTTCTGTTCATCTAAGTTGTAATAAATCACTTATGATGGCTCAGCTTTGTTTCTCTAATGCGCAGAAAGAAATTGCTTATTTTTAATGAAGCAATCCAAGTACAGCGTTCTTCTAGGACTTTTACTCCCCCTTTCCCCATTTTGATTTAGCCATACTCAATTTTGCAGCATTTAAAATTTTGCACCTTTGTTGGCTTTTTATCTGCCTGTTCAATCAGTGGGCATAACATTAAATTACATAATTATAGTAGCAAGTGCAGTTGACATAATAGATTTAGCTTTAAAACACTCCTGACTCTTGGTAAGCCTGTAATTTGTAGGCATTATGATTGTTTAGAGAGGAGCTCCTTGTCTCTAGGGTTCTGCTTGCATTGACCCGCAGTGGTTAGTGTTTGACAGGGAAAGGAAGCGCGGGTCAAGTACTCTGTCAGTTCTGTGAGGGTCTCACTAGTGTCAAGTCGATTCTGACCCCCAGCAACCCTATAGGACAAGACTAGAACTGGATTCCCAAGCCTCGTCTCTCTCATACAGAGTTGGCTAGTGGTTTAGAACTTCTGACCTGTGGTTAGCAGCCCAACACGTAATCACTATGTCACCAGGGCTCTGTCTAAGGAGGATAGTAATGCATATGAGCAGTTACATAGGACCTATGCAGGGAGGTTTCTGAAAAGGAAATTTGGGAAAAGGGTTAAATGTTATGCTGAAGGGTTTTTTGAAATGACTTTGTTTTAATTAAAAGCATTTTGTTGTTTTGTTTGTCTTCATTCTCTCCTCTCTCCTCCTCAACTCTTCCCTTCCCTTTCCTCCCCCTATTCCCCCTCCCTTCTCTTTTTTCCTGACCCTCTGTCTCTGTTCTTCTGTTTCTCTCTTCCTGTCTGTCTCTTGCTCCTTATCTTTTTTCCTCAGGTTGCTATCGTGAGGAGCTGTGCAAACTGATGTGTGAGCGGCTGAAACTCAGCACATGGAAAGTGCAGCTAGGAGTCCTACAGTCAATGAATGCCTTTTTTCAGGGGTAATGTACTTCATACTCGTACACTTATTTTTTTTCTCCCCATTCCTTTGCTATTTTATATCTAGTCAGTGGAAGTCTTTAAAACACACTTTAAAACTAGTGGCTAACAGAGTGATACACACAAACAGAATTTGTGCCAGAAGGTTTTGGAGTATTTCTTAACATGTGGCATTTGTATTTTGCTTCTTGGTTTGTATAGATTAATGCTTTTGGAAGAAGAACATGCCGATGCTGAGGCTTTGACTGAGATTCTCCTTGAGACTTGTAAATCAATCACATATTCTTTAGGTGAGTGTGGAAGACTGGCCCTGTGCAAGCGTCTTACTTTGTAGGCTCTAGGGCCTTCACTTTCAGTGCACTCTACTTTTCCAGAAACGAAATTTATGGAACCACCACTGACCTGTTCTGCTTAATATGTTTCATTGAAGCGTTTTAATCTGGAGTTCAATTTAGGATTTTGGCAACCAAAGTAGGAAAGCCTTTGTGCCATTGATTTTGTTTCTTAAAGTTTTTCTTTGGATATAATTTCAAACTCAGGGAAATGTTTTAGAAGTACATATACTCTCCATATATGTACATATATACATATGGATATATGATATATGTGTATATACATGTACATAAATGTTTGAAATTTGTATATATATGTACATATACATAAGTACATATACACTTTGTACTTAGAGTCACTTAACATTTTGCCCTACTTGCTTTATCATTTGTACTCTTTACATTTTTTTCCCTGAACTGTTAAAAGTATATCATGCCTCTTCTTTTTTTTTTTAATATTTTAAAATTGTGAATTCTTTTGGGGTTTTATATTTAACATAATCAGTTTTGTGTTTATTTAGGGGTTTTATATTTAACATAATCAGTAGTTCAAACTACATATCAACACTCTAGATAGCTTACTCTGACCCTCATTTGATCTCCACTCTCTCTTGTGGATTACTATCTTCCCTAAGTTAATACCTGTCGACCCGGCCCTATCCTTCGAAATCCTCCTGTGCATATTCTCTTCCATCACTACATAGCATATGTCACTTCTATGTAATATGACATTTTGCTTTCTCTATTTGTGAAGAGTTTTGCTTTTTTTAAGGTAGAAACCATACTGAAGATTATAGTCTTTAATGTTCATATAAGAGGGCTTTTATCAAAACACAATGTTTTATCAGTATTTTACCATTTTTCAGTTCTGTCAGTTGACTCAATAATGGTTTTCGAATGATTTTCCCTATGCTCTAGTCCAGGATTATTAATGATCTGTCTTAATTTGGAACACTTCCTTGGCCTTTCTTTGATCTATGTGATATTGACAGCTTTGAGGAATAACCCTTCTCCCTTTGAAAGCAGACTGTTTCTCATTTGGCATTTGTTTGATGCCCCTTTCTAGTTAGGTGCATATTCTCCATTCCCCTGAGATAACCATGTAAGTAAATTGGTGTCTTTTTTACGTGGAGTCAGATGTTGTCCATCGGCTTTCGTTGGTGATTTTAGTCTTGGTTATCTGGTCAAAGTATTGCTCAGATATTTTGTATCACTAGTGCCTTGTTCTCCTGATGTCTAATAAACCTCTCACCTCCTCACAATCTCCTCATTAGATGCAGTGTGCATTGATAATTCTTTCTTGAACCCATCTGTACTAATATGGCTGCACGGTGATTGTCCAACTCAGCACTTCCTCCACATTTATCCTCAACCTTCTCAGAAGAAAGTAAAGGCCATTAAAAAGACAGGAGAAAAAGAAAAGACCAAAATGGGTGTCAGAAGGGACTCTGACATGTCTTGAGCGGAGAGTAACTGAAACGAATGGAATGATGAAGGAAAAGAGCTGAACAAAAGATTTCAAAGAAGTAGCTCAAGGATGCTATAATGTTATTATACTGTTATTATACAGTATAAGGTTATTATACTGTAATGTGTAAACACTTGGAGTTAGAAAATCAAATGGGAAGGACATGCTCCGCATTTCTTAAGCTGAAAGCAGAAGGAAAAATTCAAGCCTCCAGTTGAAGAACTGAAAGATTCTATGAATGGCAAGATAGTGAATGACACAGAAGGCATCAAAGGAAGGTGAAAGGAATACAGAGTCACTGTACCAAAAATAATTGGTCAGTGGTCAACCATTTCCAGATAGGTCTTAGGCTCAAGAACTGATGATACTGAAGGAAGACGTTCAAGAAGTCCAAGGCATTAGTGGAAAACAAGGCTCCAGGAATTGATAGTATACTAATTGAGATAATCCAATAACTAAATGCAGTTCTGGAAGTGCTCTCTGATCTGGGAAATTTGGAAGACAGCTACCTGGCTAACTAGAAGAAATTCATATGCGTGCCCTTTCTGAAGAAAAGGAATTCAACAGAATGTGGAAATTATCTAACAGTATCATTAATATAACATGCAAGTAAAATTTTGTTAAGGTAATTCTAAAATGGTTGCAGCAGTATATCGACAAGGAACTGACAGAAGCAACCAGGATTCAGGAAGAGACATGGGAAGAAAGATATTGCTGATGTCAAGAGGAGTTTGGCTGAAAACAAAGAACATCAGAACCACGTTTATCTATTGTTCATTGGGTATACAAAGGTAATTGTGTGGATCATAAGGGATTATAGATAACATTGCAAAGAAAGGGGAATTCCAAAACAATGTGCTTATTTAGAAGAACTAGAACAAAGGTACTATGTTTGAACAGAACGGGGCTGCATGCTTCACCATCTGTATGTGAACAAATCACCTGAGAAGCTGAGTCTTATGCAGGAAAGTACAGCATCTGGGAAGACTTGATGGTCTGTGATGTGCAGATAACACAACTTTGCTTGTTGAAAATGAAAAGGACTTGAACTTTTGTATGAACATTGGAAGACGACAACCTTCAGCCTGGATTTTACCTGAAAGAAAGCAAAAATCCTGGACCCGAAGCAACATCATGGTAAAGGGAGAAAAGTTTGGTGTGTTAGTCCAGGTAGACTAGAGAAACAAATTCATAGACACTTGTGTGTATAAGAAAGAGCTTTATATACAAGAGCAATTGAATATTGAGTAAACATCCCTGTCCAGTCCAGATCAAGTCCAGGTCTGATATTAGTCCATATGTCTGATACCAATCTATAAATTCCTCTTCAGACTCACACAACACATGCAATGGTGCCCAGTGCAGGAAGATCACAGGTCACTGGTGGAAAGTTTTGTGGATCCAGTGGCAGTAGAAGCATCTCAGCGCTGTCAGGGGTCTCCACGTGGCTCCTGCAGCTCCAGGGCTCTCTTGTAGCTCCATGTGTCTTGTCTGCAGGAATGTCTTGCAGGGAGTGAGCATGCGTCCCACCTCCAGTGAGCTATTTATCTCCTGAGCGCCTCCAAATTAGGTCATCAAGCTATGACCTGATTGACAGGCTAAACTCTACCCCTTCACTCTTAAGTCTCAAACTGACAACAGATTATAGAACTACCACACAGGAGAAAACTAAAATGCATACACTTCAATATGTGCCACCCTCATTTAAGCATAACATTCTACCAGTGAACAAAGCAAAAATGCCCTGTGCCTAACAGTTGCAGTTAAGTGACACCTTTACCATAATCCTATGAACACATTCTTAAGAATATATTCCCCCACTTAGGAAAGTTTGTAAGCCAGCCCACTTCATGCCTTTATCCATCCAATTTGAGTATCCAATTTCTATACTGCCCACTACATCAACCCCGCGCTCTGAGGAGACAGTCATATTCTTTGTTGTTAAGAATCTTCGTTCCAGTTGGAACCTTGTGAATGCCGCATCCATAAGCAAAGCCAAATCGGGACAGGCCATCCATAAGCTCAGCAGCAGTATGCACCAGTTCACAGGCTGAAAGATCTCTTCATCTGGTCCGGGTTCTGGTCACCTCAATATAGGCTGCCTCACTTAGCGTCACCAAGGTTTTCATTGGTCGCCTGGCCTTTAGACTGTGGCCCCATTACAAATTCTCAACAGCCCCCTTGGGCTAGGTCATGAACTTCAGAGCAGTCAGTCCACTCTTATCTTCTCTAGTTCCTGTAAACCAGGTCCATGGGTGTCAGTGGCCAGGCTCAACCTGTCTCTTTAATGCTGCATATCTTTCACTTCCACTCAACAAGTGGATCCTGGTGGTCACCTTACAAGCATTTCAGCTTGCCCACAGGCGCCCTTTAACAATTCAGTCCTAAAGTGGAGGTTTCTTCAGGGCTCCAAATTGTCCCCAGCTTCTGACAAAAGCCATTAGTTCAAGATTCAAAAAGCCAGTTCCTTTTTCTTTAATCTGTCAACAGCTCCTAGGCAAGTCTCTTAGAAGGAAATATCCTGAATACTCTAAAGCACTGAGCCTTCTTTGCAGGCCTCACCCATACCCATTTAAAGATGCAGATTTCAATGGTCAAGGCAAGTGGGTTTACAAGCTCTCTATTTTCATACTTCCCAATCATTTCTATCATTATATCAATAATGATAAACATAAGAAATTAGTATAAACAAAGTAGAATCAGATATTAAACTCAATTGTTAAAACAGTTAAGTTGAATTCTTATCTATATCTTAATCCTTTGCTAAACTATTCTGTTGATATAAAATAGGGGATTAAGCCTGTGATAGCATCAAGCCAAAGCCAGGCTTTCTGTCAGCCATTTTCCCATGGTTTCTGAGGAATTCAAGGAGCGATTTCTTCTCTCAAACAGGAATAGCCAAACACAACAACCAAACAAAATAATCAAAAGTTTAATTTCCCATATTCTTTCCAGAAATCAACCCAGTGAACTGCATGGCCATGTCTGACCTCTGGCTAGCCAGAGAAGAAAAAGTACCATGAGGGGGAGATCAAACAAACACCCACTCTCCATTTTTATGATGTTTCTCGAGTGCCCCATTCCCAAGGCGCCATAATGAAACAACCACAATCGGAGTTGTCCAAGAGGCCATTGTGTCCACAGATGTAAAAGGAAGAAAGCAAACCATGTAATGTGATGGGCAAATCTGCTGCAAAAGACCTTTTTAAATCGTCAAAACGCTAAGATGTCACTTGTGAGGACTACGGTACTGCAAGCTCAAGCCATGGCTATTTATTTTTCTAAGTCATTTTGTTGACACATATGCACTTACCATATAATTCAGTGGCTTGAATATATTAAAAAGAGTTGGGTGTCACCATCAATTTTAGCACATCCAAACCATGGGATTTTAAATCTCATCAGCACGTGAAACCTGGAAAACAAATAAAGACCTGTGAATTATGATGATGGTGAAGAACATTAAGTAGAGCACTGACTGCCGGAAGAATGAACAAATGTGTCTTGTTGTAGCCGCCAAGAATGCTCCTTAAAAGCAAGGATGACATGACGTCTGGCTCAGATTCTGTGGACTTGTCCTGGAGAAGGGCCTGTGCTAGATGAAGTTAGAGGGTTGGTGACAAAGAAAGACCGGCAACAGGTTTGAGCGATGCAGCGGCTGCCACAGTGGGCTCAGACGTAGCAGTGATAGTGCGGCTGGCACAGGACTGGCCATTGTTTGTTCTGGTTTGTACAGGGTTGCTATGAGTTACAACTGGCCCAATGGCACCTAACAACAACAGCGGCATTGTAGGCAACATCTATGCTCCACCCCTACCTGCACCCCCAAATCTTTCTTTATTATAGACATAGACACATGGATTTTTTTTCTCTTTTATGGTTTATAATTCATTATTTTCATTAATTTATTCTCAAACTTCTCCTCAACTTGGCCCAGTAGAAGACCTTGAAGCTAGCATTTGTATCTTTTTGACAAGCCACCATCATTCTTTTAATAACTTTTCTAGCAATATAAGATGTTATATGCTTATATGTGCCTGCCCTGTCCTAGGCCTGGCTTTATGTTAATTTTTAACGTAGATGGTTTCAGGTAGATGTGATGACTAGAGGAGACACCAAGGAAGCATATCTTAGTTTCAGGGATTGAGATAGCGAGCATGCTTTATGGATAAAGAATTGGAAACTAACAGTTTTATCTTTGATGGGTCTCAGGTATCCTGAGGCTAATAAGCATGATGCTCTGTAATATTCTGTAGTCAGATAAACGGAGACATACACAACTCTGAGGAATGATATGAAGCTGTCTATCTTTGAGGTAGTGTGTATTTTCCCACTAAAATAAGTTTTCTGAATACGTAATTGGTTGTGGCAACTGTTTTATATGGTTGATCTTGTTTTCTTTTCTCAAAGTAAGGAATGTGGATGTGTAGCACATTTCAAGAGTCTATGAGAATAATTAGCAAAGGGGAGCTTACTTTTAAAAACAGGTTTATCTTGCTTTGGAATTATAATCAGCATCTTTCTTTCGGTAACATTAATTCCGATTGGGAGGTTGCATCTTTAAGTCATATAAGATAATAATGCCGACTGTGTGACTTTTCTTTTTAGAGAATAAGGCCTACTCATCTGTGAGAACAGAAGCTTTAGCTGTGATAGAATTACTGCTCAAAAAACTTGAAGGTAAGCTCTCGACAGTTCTGACTGGAAGAACAGAGTTCACGGTAATTTTAGGGTGTGTGTATTTTAGGAATATTTCTGCTTTCGTATACGTGAATATTTTTTTAAGTACAAGTTAATATACATGCACATGTATCCATAAGAAATATACAAAGTGAAAACTTAAAATTTTTATTTAGTGTTAAATTTGGTACTCTTCTAATTTATATACTTTTAATGTGGTTGTAACCTGTAGTTATCTCCAGGTAGTAATCTTTTTTTGTTTTCAGCTTGAATCCTAGTTTTACTTGGTTATTTGGAGGAAGTGGCTGACAGTGGCATGCTAGACATCACTATATACATATCAGTCAACAGCATAATGCACCAACAGGTGGCCACGGTGGAAATAGTCCACCTGAGTTTGCAGATTTGTTTAATCTCATTGTTTTTCCTTCCTTTAAAAAAAAA